GTGGCCGTGACCAGCCCCCACCGAAGCAGCCCATGCCCTGGGGTGACGAAGCACGGCAGCTCCCTGCGGCGTCACCGCTCTGACCTAGCTGGAGCTCCTTCGAGGGGTGCAGGAGTCCTGTTGTGGGGTTCTGCCCTGGGGGTCACCCTGTCCCTTTGTCCCCAAGTGCTGCCAGTGGGGTGAGCTGGAAGGCTGAGCCCCATCGGGCGCACCTGCTCCCCAAAAGACATCGGGCAACCTCCTGCCCAGAGAAGAGGGCCTGGACGTCTCGTGGGCTGCATGCTGCCCTGGGGGGGTGGGGAGCCTCCCTCCTCGCTGCGCCTCCCTCCTGCGGGATCCTCTGGTCACCTCCGTCCCTCTCACCTTTGTTTCTCAGCGACTTGACAGTGAAGCTCTGGAGCGGGAGGAGGTTACCCGCGGGCTCCAACTAGGAACTGCAGGAGAGGCTGGAAGACATGACAGGAGGGTGAAGGTCGGGCTACCTCGCCCTTGCTATCAAGACCTGATCATCTACGGGAACTCGGCCCAGGGATAGGGATTTCTTTTTGCCTGACCCAACAGGATGGACAGTGTCCCGTCGGGTACTTGGAGCACTGCGAGCCCCTGTGCGGAGGCAGCTCCATGGGGCGCCGTCCGCTCTACCTTCCCTCCTGCCCAGATTTCTTGATGTTTTTCCAGTGACCAGGAAATGTTTCATCTCTCTTCTCTCCCATCCTGCTGTAATGCCTGCCAGGACTTCTGGGCGTCACAGCTCCTTGGTTCCTTCTCAGAGATGTGCAATTTCCTCCTGCCACCCTGGGCTCATGTGGCCTCACCACGATGTGCTTCTTCTGTCCCATTGGCTCCGGGGCTGGTTCCTGCAGGAGTCTTTCACCACTCCATGGCCATGAGGTCGTTTGGTGTCTCCTGGCCGGGACCACAAGCTGCTGCTTTGGAGATGTTCCTCGTGGGACAGCCTCTCTGCTGTGGGGGTTCTGCAGAAGGATTACCAGCTAGTCCCATCATTCCCCATCCTCCGTCTGCCTGCCCACAGCGGTTGGAGCTGTGCCTCTCTGAGCTCCTTTGACGTGTCCCTGCTCCAGAGGCACAGCAAGCTTGGGAAGGTCTCCATTGAGCAACTTCCAGACAAACCTGCTGCAGTTCCCTTCAGCGTTCTCCAAACCCCAGCCGTGACCCGTGGTTCTCAGGCTCTTTCTCACCCCGCTCTGCAGTGGGGAGGGGCAGGGCTGCTTAGCCCAGCTCTTGACATCTTGGTCCTCAGCAGAGGTTGTGTGGTGGGTTCCTGCAGAGTGTTAACCTCCTTGAGATGGAGAAACGAAGGAAGAATGGAGGACACAGAGCAAGGAGACCAAGGCTGGACTTGTCACCCTCACTTCTGGGGGCTGGAAGCTGTAAATCCTTCCCCCTCAGCTGTCTGTCATGGAGGGAGCTGGCTTGGGTTTGGATCCCGGAGACGGAGGGGCCCAGCGAGGCCTAGAGCAGCCAGAGGACGGGCCGAGTTGGAGTCAGCCATGCCGGGAGCAGGGTGAGGAAGGGGTTGCACATGCTGCTCTCGCACAAGTCCCCTGATTCACCCCGTGCTTCAAGGACAATCCTTGCACAATCTCCATGAAAGGCTGGGAGCTCTGTCCGGGAGTTTTTCCCGAAGGAAGCATCTTCTCCAGTCTCCCTCCTCCCTCATTTCTGTGCAATGGGCTGGCAAGGCCCTGGTCTTTCCTCCATTTCTCCCTGGACCAGGCAGGGATGGCCAAGGAGACCCCGGGATTGGTGCTCTTGCCTCACATGCTCCCACTTTCCTCTGTCACAGAAGAAGCAGCATTTGAACTGAAATGTAAGGATTTCTCCATGTGATCCCACTAGCACTGAACTGGGATCTCGGAGGCCAGGGGCTCCAGGACCTGCCCCATAAAGCACAGACCATTCTCCCTCTGCTTTCTCCAACCATGGTGACACATGCACCAGTGCCAAGTCATTTGCCACCAGCCCTTGTTAAAACCAGTCCAGGTGGAGCCTGGGAATTCCTCTGCATGGGAGCATCTCTATTGATTTGATGGGGTGGGGAGGGGTTTGCCTTTTGAGGAGAAAAACCCCATCCTTCTGGCTTGCCGTGATGAAGGACGTGATGACATGGGTGAGGTGACCCTGCCCAGGACAGTGGCCAGTCTCTTGTGAGTGTGGCCAAGCCCAGGACCGCGGAGGCAGCGAGACGAGGAGGGCAGCTCCGGGCTGGCTGTCCTGCAGGGCTGGGGGAGCTGGATGGGGAGCTGGAGGAGGTGTTCCCCTCCAAGCCTGCCTTGGAGAGGGTTTCTCTGCTTGTTCCTCATTTGGTTTAACCTTTCCTTGGCTGGAGGGGTGTCCGTGTCCCATGTGTGTCAGTGTCTGCGCCACGATCTGCCAGTGCCTGACCTGAAACCTCTTGCTGAAGTCGGTGAAGGGACCTGCTCTTGGAGACGCTTGGGGACAGACCTGTCTTGCCTTTCGCCACCGATTTCTTCCCGTGTGTAGGCTGCAAGTGCCTGAATTCATTTCCCAGGGCTGAGTGGCCAGTCCTGGATGATGCTGAGCATCCCCCTCGCTGCTCTGCCCAGCGGCACATGGAGGGGGCTTCAAGGCTTTTGCATTCTGCAGGTGGAGGGAGCTGGGCACAAGCAAGACAGCAAGTGTCCGGAGAAGGGGGTCTGTGAAGCGAGAGGTGGCTGTGACCCTGTAGCTCTGTGTGTTTCTGTGTGTGTGTATACGTGTCGCTACCTGCATGGGTTGGTATTTCCCAGGCAGGAGAGCATTTCTTGCCTATTGATCTGGTTTAGCTACCTCACGGTGCAAGCTGGGTGCTGTTGTCGTTTGGTTTCATTTTGGGGATGGGGAGTTCGTGTTATTAGATTCGTCTTCTCTGAACTAGTGTTACGGTTTTGACACTTGAATTAGTCCTGGGGACACGTGGCCTCACCCCCACCTCGCTGCATGTCTGAGCCACCCCGCGTGTCCCCCTTCCCCCGGGCAGCGTGGTGGCATCAGCGCCCAGCTCTGCCCGCGCTCCCGGCTCACACCGTCACGGTGGGATCCCCCAGCCAAGTCGCGACACTGAGAATTTTGCTCCTCTTGCTGGTGGGGTGCTTGGATTTTAGGCTTGGCATTGCTGCCGTTAGTAATTTGGTTGATTTACAGCCTGGAACTGGTCCCGCTTCTCCTTCTGAAAGGATGGAACGGGACCTCTGAATGGCTCAGCTCGGCCTGTGTTCCCGTCTCTGCTCACACAGATGCCCTCTGTGGATGCAATGAAGCTCTTCTTGTCTGGGCAATGTCGATGAAAAGCACATCGCTGGAATGGGCTGGATCTTGTCTCCATTTTCCAGAGCCTGCTGTAATTCTTTGGCAGCCCAGAGCATCAGGGAACTGGGGCTGTAAAAGCCTCTGGCCAGGGTTGGGGTGGTCTACGAGAGAAGCTGTTTCTTCCGTGTGACATTTGATTTTTCACCCCCAAAATGTAGTTGAATCTAGATCCTGTCCCAGGCACTGGACATAAACCAGGGTAACCTTGCAGCCCCCAGGTTACCCCCTCCTTGGGGGCTGGGGAGCTGACACAGGGTCGTACCCCCCTCCCCTGGCACAACAGGGTTTGGGAAGGGGCTCCCAGCTCTGAGCCACACTGTCAGTTGCAGGGGGAGCAGGTTCCCCCAAACACTAAAGCACAAGGTCCCAAACGTGCAGGTGGTCTAGCAAGGATGGCCCCTTGGACTCTGGTCCTTCACGGACCGTGGGCTTGGGCAACCAAGGTGGAGGTGGGGCTTGGGATGAGGGTGAGGGCTGTTTGCCTGCCAGAAGCAGCATGTGAGCTGTTTAATCCTTTTGCACTGTGCTGAGCTGCTCCCCTGGAGCTCAGGACTTGCACTGCTGCACAGCTTGAGTCCCTTGTGGTGGTCTCTGAGCCCCTCTGCCAGCCCCTCCATTGCAGGGACAGTTTGGAGCTGCCTTTGCATTGTGCACCTCATTTTGCTTCACCTCTGGGTGCCTTGGTTTGTGCCAAGGGTGTGATGATACCTGCAGTCCAGGGGGGTCCTTCCCTTCCTCAGATCGCTGGGTGATGCTTTTTGTCCCCGGGCCTTGACTTTTGCTCTGTGGGTCTCCTCCTTCCAGCACACAGGAGCCAGCTCCAGCCTCCGCTGAGGCGCTCGTGCTGGTCCAGAGCACACAAGGGGTGGAGATGACTCAGGAGCCCAAAAGCACTGGGGCCCCCAAACCACTGTGAGCCCACCCAGGGGTGCTGGGCACTGCCCCCTCCCTGGCACCCACAGCTCTTATGGCACAAAAGGACGGGCTGGTGCTTCCTCTCTCTGAGGAGATGCAGCACCAGGGGCCTGTCCCTATCACTAAGGTACGTTGTTCCTCCCCAGCACCTCTAAGCACAGCTGTTTTGGGGAGGTTCTCGGATGCTGCCCCCTGCCTTGGTGCTGCAGAACCAGTATCTGCTCCCCAGGGTGCTCTCCCCGTGCCCCTCTCCCAGTTCTCCCCCTGTCCCATGCTGGGGGCGTCCAGGTACAATCCCTGCAGAGCACAGGGCTCCCACTTGCTTTTCAGCAAGCTTGCTGGAGCTTTGCTCTGTCCTGCAAGCTGCACGCTCTCCTGAGCCCCCCTCACCCCCCTGCATAGGGAAGGGGATCCCTGGCCTCTCCACTTGCTGTGTGGTGCTGCAGTTCTAACTAGGAGGGAGCCCAGCACAGCTCTGACCCTCCAGGGCCTGTCCTTGGGCCCTCCTGGGCCTCTCCCCAGAAAAGCACAGCCCTTTGCCTTCCCCCTGCCCCTCATCCAGCACAGCTCTACCCCTGCTGGTGGCTCCACGTCCCCCCATCCCATCCTGGGACCACCCTGGACCTTCTGGTCCAGCCCTGCTGCAGGGCGCCGGCAGCCGCAGCATCACGTCACCTGCTCTGTCACCCTTTCCCGCTGCCCAGCTATCGCAATAGCAGGTGCCTTTTCTTGCTCGGAGCTGTTTTCTAGAGGCCAACTCTTGTGAAGGCTTTTTTTTTCTCTGCTGGGTCAGGCAGCCCAGCCCTGTGGTCTGGGTTTTGTCAGAGGACAAGGTGTGTACATATATTTTATACCTCGATGTGTTCCTGTAAATAGTGTAAGTTATTTCGGTCTCATGATGTACATGTTTTTTTCAATGGTTGTGATTGTTCCTTGCCTTTTGGCCTTCACAAATAAAACGTACTGCGATGAAGTGATGGAGCAGGGATGGCTTTGAAGAGGGGAAGAACTGCCCGTCCCCTTACAATGCACCTGGCAAAGGGGCTGGAGGAGCTCATGGCCCCACCATGGTGTGAGGAGAAGACCCTGACCCGTGTCCTCACCGAGTCCTCAGGCAGATGGGGCAGAAGTGATTGCCCTGGGGGAAACCAGGGGCTGAGGTGGAGAAAGCACCTCAGGGTGCGAT